TGACAATATTTGGAATAGTTTGAAATCTACTTAATGTAACTCCAGCCAAGCTAGAGAAACAGCCGCATCCCAGTGAGACCAAACATGTTTGTAGGGGAGGCTGTAGCTGTATTTCTGCCAGCAGATTTACCTGCCTACCCAGGTGTTGCTTAAATAAATACGGCATTAAAACCAGTCTGGATTCCTGGAATATTTATCAACGGGTCGTGGGGAAAAAGCTAATTTACATTGAAGGAGGTGCCCAAGTAGAACTGTTTTAACGCTCAGATGAAAAACTATTGTTGTTATTATTACGTATTACTACTATTATTACTAATAATCACCAAAGAGAGCTCAATCATCATATTATAAGGCTCTGGAATTTGTGTTTCCATGTGCAAATAAAGACTTGTCCCATTTCCCTTTGATTTGGGCCAGCAAAGGGATTCTCGGCAAAGCCAAGGGTGAATGAGCTAGGAAAGAATGTCCTGTGATCACCAGAAGGGACAAGGTAACCTTAGGTAGTGGTGGACGCCTCTCCGGTGTCTGCTCACCCGCTGTCTTTCCAAGACCACGGACTGAGGCAGGGAGTCGTAACTGCCCTCTTGATAGGCAAATGTTTCCAGGTCATCCAGCTGGGTTTTGAGCTGCAGTATGAGTTCTTTCTGCTTCTCCCTTTGGGTTTCCAGACGTTCCCGTTTCTCCTGCTCACTCTAAGACAAGAAAATACTCAGGTCTGTTTCATAGGAAAAGGACAAATCAGGGCACAAGGGCACGTTAAGAATCCTCTCAAGCTAATTATGACTACTGAGACATAAAGTGTTTCCAAATAATCCCAATGGAATGCAGGATTCAGAGGTAGGTTCAAAAATGAGAATAATGATTTCATCCAGGGAAATTTATTGAATGTGTTTTCTTTAAAAAGGTATTTGTGGGGCGCCTGGGTGGCTTAGTCGGTTAAGCATCCGACTTTCACTTAGGTCATGATCTCGCGGTTCGTGGGTTCGAGCCCCGCGTCGGGCTCTGTGCTGACAGCCAGCTCAGAGCCTGGAGCCTGTTTCAGAGTCTGTATCTCCCTCTCTCTCTGACCCTCCCCTGCTCACGCTGTGTGTGTGTCTCTCTCTCCTAGAAATAAATAAAAATATTTAAAAAAAAAAAAAGGGGGGGCGCCCGGGTGGCTTAGTCGGTTAAGCGTCCGGCTTTCACTCAGGTCATGATCTCGCGGTTCGTGGGTTCGAGCCCCGCGTCGGGCTCGGTGCTGACTGCCAGCTCAGAGCCTGGAGCCTCTTTCAGAGTCTGTGACTCCCTCTCTCTCTGACCCTCCCCTGCTCACGCTGTCTCTCTCTCTCTCTCTCCTAGAAATAAATAAAAAACATTAAAAAAAATTTAAAAAAAAAAAAAAAGGTATTTGTCCTTCATTGGAAATAAAATATGAATACACTGGGGCCTTTTGTTTAGGCAGCTTCCCCCCACCCCCTCCACAAAAGCCTAGGTAGGACTGAGACAATTTGTTTTAGACAAGACAGCCCCCCAGAAATTAAAAATGCCACCCTCCACAGGCAATTACCACAGATCAACTCCTGAATACTTTCTGCAGCCAAAGTTTGCAAGAGAATCTAGTGAGAAGGGTGTAGAGAAAGGGTGTATAACTCATAACCATTTTCTTCATTCTTCTTATTTTTTAAAGATTTTATTTTCCAATAATCTCTACATCCAAAATGGGGCTCGAACTCCCAACCCTGAGATCAAGAGTCCCGTACTCTGCCAATGGAACCAGCTAAGGACCCCTCATACTCAGTTTTCTTAAGATTCAAAGCCCCTCCAATGTATTACAGATGTCTGTACAATCAAAAGAATTAAAGTACGTGCCTGGGGCAGTGAAAAAAAAGTCTGGTAAGAGTCCCCTGACCAGGGAGTCCTTTCTCCACAGTTGGCCACCAGGTAGATTCTGTATTTAAATAATGAAAAACCCTTCAGGGTGGTAGAATCTTACCAATGTTTTCTCAAATACTAGTTCTTCCTTAACTTTCCTGATTATCAAAAACAAAACAAAGCAAAACTAGCAAGTCAGGTGCAGGTGTAAGGCTGCATTTTCAACCAGCACGCTATCAGATATTAAATTTAACCTTCAAGTGGAATTTACCAAGCCCTCCAGAAGATACAAGTCAGGACAAATGAAAAACAAATTAACTTTGTGTTCAAGCTCTTTAAAAGGCAATCCTCTTGCTTTACTCAACAATGAAAGCAAGCCTTTTCTCAGGGCACTTCCTCTGCAAACCTTTCTGGGTATTGGCGTTTCTTAGAACCTTGTTCCTATCCCCTGCTGAGTGAGGGCCTAGCGATCCTTCTGGTTTCCTGGATCTCCCTGGGGCAAAGCTGATCATTTTTTTATTCTGTGTTGTGTACACACTTCTCTAGCTCATGTCACATTATTCTATCTTTGTTGAAGATTCTGTCTCCCCCAGTCTATGAACTCCTCAAGGGCAAAGCCTTGACTTTGTACTCCCATTGCCTAGCATGGTGTCTGGCATGGAACAAGCTCTCAAAAACGCATTTGCTTTATGTTACTGAACTAAAACAGATAAAGAACGACACATCCCAAATAATAAGCTCTGACTGGAAGAAGCAGTCTAGCCAGCCCCAGGAGAAAGAACAGAAAGTCTGTTTTTGTTTTCACTGTATCCCAACTTCATGAAGCCAAAGAAGAAAAACAAACAAACAAAAAAAACCCAGCCATGAATCCCGATTCCGTTTTCATGAGTACGTCTCCTGAGTTCCATCGTCTGCCATGACAGTTACCGTGTGTTATTTATTGGAGTGTGGGGGAAACAAGTGTGAGTTCTGGTTCAAGGCTGCAAATAATGGAAACAATTTCCAGTGTGAAAAAGTTTGGAACTGGGGCGCCTGGGTGGCTCAGTTGGTTGAGCGTCTGACTTCGGCTGAGGTCATGATCTCACGGTTTGTGGGTTCGAGCCCTGCGTCGGGCTCTGTGCTGACTGCCAGCTCAGGGCCTAGAGCCAGTTTCAGAATCTGTGTCTCCCTCTCTCTCTGACCCTTCCCTGCTCACGCTGTCTCTCTCTCCTAGAAATAAATAAAACATTAAAAATAAAAAAAAAAATTTAAATAAAAAAAGGAAAAGAAAAAGGAAAACTAATAAGAAGTAAATCATTTGGTTCAAACATGTCCCCCCACTTAGATATTTTATGTAATCTTCTGTTCATGCATTACTCATGAACAACAGGTGGTACCAAAGTGGTATTTTGAGCACCGATTTTTTCCCCCTAGTTTTTATTTACTTGAGAGTGTGCACTGGGGAGGCGCAGAGAGAAAGAGTGAGAGAGAGAATCCCAAGCAGGCTCTATGCTGTCAGTGCAGATTTCACCAGCCACGACATCATGACCTGAGCAGAAACCAGGAGTCAGACGCTTAACGGACTAAGCCACCCAGGCACCTGGTGAGCACCACTTTTTTTTTTTTTTTTTTAAGTTTTACTCTGCTTCCAGAAGAGAAAACGAAGAGCCAAAAGAGGACCACATCCACACAGAAACTCTGATGCTTCTCGCTCCTGAACAAGGGCCTGGTCACGGTAATTCTTTCTATGCCTTCTACTCCTTAAAAGTCTGGCAATTTGGAGGTGGCTGCTCCTTGTGCAAGGAGCTGTGGGTATGTGGAGAGGGTGGAACAGCAAACACAGGATTGCACTGGAAACATTTCAGGTTAAAATAAGCAAGTCAGTATCTACTACTGATAAGTCTTCTTGGTTAAACTCAATTTAAGTGGGAAGAAAGCCACATACAGGTAGTAACTTGAAGAATAAAAATGTGGAGAAGATGGCCAAGTCTCTTCAGCACCTCCACAAGCTATTTGCAACTTCCAGAAAAGTGCACACAGACGCCCATTACTCAGTGGAGGCTAACTGAATGGATCTTGTCACAGGTACCAAGGGGGCTTCATATATAATACCTCGTTATTAGGCAGGATGGGCAAGGAGGTTTAAAACACCAGCTGTAGGAAAAGCATATAATCAGGAGTTGTGTTTCTTTCATTTACAAAGTGATCATGCTGTTCAACAAAGCTCCCACCCTCACAAAAATCTAAAGATTAAAAGATGTGTTCCAGATTCCAGGAAAGCAGGAACAGGTAGGAGATGGAAATTTCCATGGATTCCAATTCACTTACCCTCCATTAGCCAATGTTCTCAGCCCCAGGTCGGGGTCCTCTCTCAGCAAATGTGCTCGGGCCTTAGGCACTTGAGGAGGCCACGGCAAGGTGACAGGAGGCAGCACTGCTTTGGTAGGTAGCTCCGTGGCCATCTGTACTCTCTTTGCTCACCACTCTTCTGTCCTGCACTTCACCACACCTCCATCTCTTCCCACACCTTAGGTGGACGCCGCTCACAATGAGGTTCCCAGGCCTCTGTGTCCTGCCCTTCAGCAGGGCTCGCACACCTGTCTCACCTCATCTCCAACGCGCGAAGTACTCACCGAGACCAGCCGGCTTCTCCCCGCTGCCACCTCTGTCCGCGTCGGCATCGCCACCTACCCAACCCCCTAAGCCCCTGTCCCTCGGGGTCCACCCCCAGCTGCTCACCTGATTCTCGCCCTGCAATAGTGGCCGGTCCCCTGGCAGCCCATTGCCATCGTCGCTGGCGGGGTCCTCGGGTCCCCCATAGCCCAGGACGTGCGGGCAGCCGCGGAAGGCGAAGTCCTCGAGCTCGCGCAGGAGGCGCTGCTGCTCCGCGGGTGCGCCGCGCACCACCTGGCGCAGGCGGAACTGCACTTGCGCGAAGTGCGAGGACAGCGCGAGCAGCGCCGAGTCCAGCCGCCGCCGCTCAGCCCGCAGCCGCCGCAGCGTCCGGCCGGGCGAATCGGGAGGGGAGCCCGGGGCCGCGCCCGGCTCCTCGGCCGCCGCCTCCTCCGAGAACGCAGCTGTCCCAGGCCCGGCCTCCGCCACTGCCCCCACCGGGGCCCAGCGCACCGCCTCGCACGGTGGCGGCGACTCCTCTTCCTCTTCGTCCTTCGCCTTTGGACCAACGGCCGCTAGCACCGTTACCGGCTCCGCAGCCGCTTCGGCAGCCGCCATCTTCCCGGAAACGCCGCCGCACGTCAGCCGCGCCCCCTCACTGCCATGGCAACGGCGCGCTGTCTGGGAAACCTGAAGGAGCGGGTGGGAAGGGCACATACGTCAGACAGTTTTTCGTCACCTGGGGCGGGCCTTCCCAAGGGATTTAATTGGGGCTAATAATTTTTTTTATTGAGCGCCTATTGTGAATCAGACACAGTGCACTGAGCGTTGGAGAAACGGGTGAATGAAGCCAGGAGGCAGTCATTCATTCGGTGTGCACGTTGTCTAGTGTGGCTCTTGCCCTGGTCCCCGGGGGTGGGTGGGTCTGGAGACCCTGAGATGTGAAGCACCGCCGAGATTATGCTCTCCCAGAGTCTCTCCGGAGTGCAGGTCCTTTGGCTCTATGGCCATGTTCCCCCTGCTCCAAGGCCTACCCCGACCATATAAGGAGAGGCAGCTGCTGTGGGCGTCCCCAGGATCTAAAGATAGCGGTCTCTGCTTGGGACTCCAAACGCCACCGGGTAGCGGGAGCAGCCATGGCAAGGTGAGTGTTTCCGGTCGCCCTTTTCCTTGAGGATTCCTTGTCCCGCCTATTTTCTGGGCTCTCTGGGTCCTACGAGGTCCCATGGAAACCCAGATCCCAGGTCTCTGTAACTTTGGGGTGGTGAGGAAAGTGTGCCCTGAATGTTCGTCATAACCCCCTACCTCTCAACTCTCGCACTGTAGATTCTCCCCAGGTTCGCCCTCCCCCCCCCACTCCCATCATGCCCCTTTCATCCCCTTAGGCCTCACTTAGCTCCACTTTGACAGGGCCGTGGCATAAAACGTCCCTAAATTTTCCCCTCCTTCCACCCTTCCCAAATGCTCCCAGTCTTCCCTCTGCCACCCCTATGAAGCCCCACCGCAACTCCTCTTCAGGCAGCATGCCCGGACGCTGTGGTATGACAGGCCCAAGTATGTGTTCATGGAGTTTTGTGTTGAGGATAGCGCCGACGTCCACGTGCTCATCGAAGACCACCGCATTGTGTTCAGGTAATGGCCCTCCTCTCCAGAGGGCCTGGCTTCCAGGAACCTTCCCTTTCTCCTAATGCACCCATGCTCGGCCTGCCCCATTTCCTCAGCTGCATTGTCTCCTCAGCTGCAAGAATGCCGACGGAGTGGAGTTGTACAATGAGATTGAGTTCTATGCTAAGGTGAACTCCAAGGTAAGGGTCGGACGGGACAGTAAGGTCTGGATGGAAAGGCTGCTTGGGATATTGGAGATTCATTCTAAGCCTCAGATCCTAAGAATGCGCTCTCTATCTGGCAGGACTCCCGGGATAAGCGCTCTGGTCGTTCCATTACTTGCTTTGTGAGGAAATGGAAGGAGAAGGTGGCCTGGCCTCGACTCACCAAAGAGGATATCAAAGTAGGGGTGTGGGGGATGGTCTCCTCTTTCTCCTCTGCTCTCTATCTCTGCCTGGGGGCATGGATCTGGGAATCATCCTTGGCTCCTTTCCCACCAACATTCAGTCACAAGGTCCTATTCGACTTCCTAAATATTCTTGAATCTATTACTTCATCTCTTCCTACTTCAGGTCTCATCCACCACTGGGTGAAGTTTATTGCATATTTTCAGCTCTACCTTCAATCTGTCCCTTTGCACTGCTCCCAGCGTGGTCTATCTAAAACACACACTTGATGAGGCACCTGGGTGGTTCAGTCGGTTAGGCGTCTGACTTCAGCTCAGGTCATGATCTCCTGATTCGTGGGTTCGAGCCCCACATCGGGCTCTGTGCTGACAGCTAGCTCAGAGCCTGGAGCCTGCTTCGGATTCTGTGTCTCCCCCTCTCCCTGACCCTCCCCTGCTCACGCTGTCTCTCTCTCTCTCTCAGAAATAAATAAAACATTTAAAAAAAATTAAAATAAATAAAACACACATTTGAGGGGCACCTGGCTGGCTTAGTCCGCCCAGTGTGTGACTCTTGATCTTGGCGTTGTGAGTTCGAGGCCCAGGTTGGGTGCAGAGATTACTTAACGGTAAAATCTTTAAAAAAAGGAAATGGAGACTCTGATCACACTGGCCTAAATTCCCAAATGCCAGGGGCCCCTGGCTGGTTCAGCTGGTAGAGCATGTGGCTGCTGATCTTGGGGCTGTGAATCCAAGCCCCATCCTGGGTATAGAGATTACTTAAAAATGAATAAATAAATAAATTCCCAAACGGAGCTTTGTTTTTTTTAATTAAAAAAAATTTATTCATTTTTGAGAGACAGAGAGACAGAACATGAGCAGGGGAGGGGCAGAGAGAGAGGGAGACACAGAATCTAAAGCAGGGTTCAGGCTCTGGGCTATCAGCACAGAGCCTGATGTGGGGCTTGAACCCAGAAACTGTGAGATCATGACCTGAGCCGAAGTCGGATGCTTAACTTACTGAGCCACCCAGGCACCCCCAAAATGGAGCTTTAAATGGAGCATGTACACTGCACTTTACTTCTTTTCATTAGCACCCTCTTTCAGGCATTTGAGCTTGTCACTTCTGCTCCTTGGGCTGAAATCCAAGCACCATAGCATGACATATAAGCTCATGACCTGGCTATTCCTCCCTTCTGTAGCATCATATCCCATTAGTCTCTGCCTTAAACTTTACATTTGAGCCAGAGCAAATGCCTCACAGCTCTTTTGCTTACACCAGGCTATTTCTCATTAATTTTCCTGCTATGCCTTCTTTCTGGAAAGCCTCCATCATCACTACCTGTACCCACCTAACCCATGAATATCCTTTAAGTCTCTGCTACTCTAAGAAGCCTGGGTCCCTGTAGCTCCTTTATGGGTTTCCATAATGTCCCCTGCATAAGCACCGCCCCCCCTTTCCACACTGCTATTATAATGATTTCCCTTCCCCACTTGCTTCGTGATGGTTGGGACTACATGTATTAAACAGTTTTTAAAAATTTGTTAATGTTTATTTTAGAAAGAGAGAAAGAGAGATTGGGGGAAGGGGGGAGGGGCCGAGAGAGAGGAAGACAGAGAATCCGAAGCAGGCTCTGTGCTGTCATTGCAAAGCCCGACATGAGGCTCAGACCCACAAACTGAGCTCATGACCTGAGCTGAAGTCGAATGCTCAACCAACTAAGCCACCTAGGTACCCCTATATGAAACCTTTTTAGAAGCCCAAGGCCACAGTCAGAGTCTGGCCCATAGTATGTGTTCAATAAATAGCTGTTAAAATGAATGAGTGAATAACTTCTTTCCTTATCTGTAACAACTTGAAACACAGGCCTCCAAGGGTTATCTCCAACTCCGGGGGGGTGCAGCTTGTCTATCTTGCTTGGTTGATTCCTATAATACTTTATGTCACACTTATCTTTCTAGATGCATCATTATCTCTATTCAGTCAGCTTCTGGAGGGCCAAATTTCTAGGCTTTTCCATCCCCTATGGTGCTTGGCATTGTGCTCGACACTTAGTAGGTTCCTGGCAAATCTCTGTGGATAATGATGATGGCACCCTGGAAAGGCGCCAGTCAAAGAGGTGGTGTGGGGAAGCCTTAACCCCCAGTGACCTTCTTTTCCCCCAAGCATGCTCCTGTGCACATGGCCATGCTCTTGCTCTTCTATGCACTCATGACGCTCTGCTCTTTCCTCTTGCAGCCAGTGTGGTTGTCTGTGGACTTTGATAACTGGAGAGACTGGGAAGGGGATGAAGAGGTGGAGCTGGCTCAGGTGGAACATTATGCAGAGGTAATGCCATTTCCTTTCCATCCTTGTCATTCTCTGTATCTCTCTGCACATAAGGAGGAGTGTCATCAGGACTAGACAGAGATATATGAGTTCAGCTCAATCGTGCTCATATTTTTTCCATACTTTGTGCAATGTTTATTTAGTAGGGATGAGAAAAATAAATATTAATGACACTGTATACATGGATTCATGCACTAGTCATGGAATTTTGAAAAAGCTTGGCAAAACCTTTCCCAACTTTTCTGTAATTCTTGTTTTCTGATATTTTCTGTGTGTGTGTGTGTGTGTGTGTGTGTGTGTGTGTTTCCTGAGCCAGACAACTTCATGGGAAGCTCATACTAAGCAGTATAAACATTTACATCATCAAAGAAATAAATTGCACCCTGCCATACAGTATTTGGTTTTAGAACTTCTGCTACTATTTATTCAAGTTGCAAAAAATACTAACAGTATTAGTAAGTTATTAGTAATAGTATTAGTATTTGCATTAGTAAAAAGGATGCCATGTATGTGGCATATAAAAATATCCTTTTAAAAAGGGGATCAATTTACTTTTCTCCAATTCATTCCAGTGACGTGTTAGGGGCTGTACAGATAGGGCAGTTGTCTGGCTGGGACCATTCTCCTGTAGTCTGTCAACATACAGGTTGCTCTTCTATTGCCCTTCTTTTCTCTTGTAATTACTTTCCTCTTCCAACCAGCTTTTGAAGAAGGTCAGCGTCAAGAGACCTCCCCCTGGCATGGATGACCTGGATGTAAGTAAAGCCTGCCTTTCAACCCATTGGTTTCCTTTTAGCCCTAAAAAAATAAGCTACTAGAAAGCTCTCGTTATGGTCCTTGGCACACCATAGTTCTCAGTGCATGTCCGCCAAATTTGAATTTGACACAGGAGGTAGAATGTTCTTCTCCAGGCTGTAGGAAACCCCAAAGACCCTCCACCCTCCCATCTCCCCTCTACTTCTCTATCCTAGAGCAGACCTGGCCCTGTTAACTGTCTTCACAGCTGTAAGGAGCAGTGGCATGAATTGAAATTCTGAAACCAAGTGATGCTTGACACAGTGTTGTTTATTGAGTGCCAGTGGTTTACTTTATTTTCGAAAGTGTAAGGCCTTCCGTGTTAGCCTACTGGGAAGTTGTGTGATTTAGAAAATCACAAAAGAAAACTTGGCGAGTAGGAGGGAGTGAGAAGAGCTTGTGAACACAAATGTTCACTCTTTGCAGATTCCACAGGCGCTGTTGTCTTTTTTTCTTTCCCTAGGATGATTCTGACAGTGCTGATGCAACAAGTAATTAACTTCTGCTGACGCAACAAGTAATTAACTTCTGTGACGGCAGAGCTGGGGAGGAAGCTGGGCATCTTCCAGTTGCTCTGAAAAGCTGGGTCTTTGCCAGCTCTTTAGCTGTGGGGTCTCCAGGGTCTGAACTTTCCTAGGAGCTCTTTTTAAGTGTCCTCTTTTACATTTTATATCTTTTTTTCCTAGGCACTTGAGTATGGCTGCATCAGATGGCAGGATAGGAGAGGAGTAGACTGGTGGGGCTCCTGACTTCCTACCAATTGGTTGTAATCTTGGTGTTTGGGACACTCATCAGGGCTCTCTTGAGTATTTGAGCATGTGTGTGTGTATGTGGTAGAGCAAAAGCCAAAGAAGCAGCATGTAGATTATAATAAATCTATAAGAACAGTTCTCTGTCTCCTTTCTTCTTGCACTTCTTCCTCCTGGAGGCAAACCTCTTCTACCTTTATTGTTCCTTTCAAGGGGAGGGGTGGGTGTCACAGATCCTGGTCCTCACTGTTGAGATTGGAAGCAGAAAGATGTTGGGAGCAGGCTTGTAACCAAGCTGGGAGACTTCCCCATGCCTACATCAATGCTCTTATTTCCCAGACCAGAAACCAGCCTTTTGCTATACACTAGAACTACGTGTTATGCCGAGAGACACAGAGACCAACCACTGAAGCCAAATTAAGGGAGTCTTTATTACCAGGCGGGACCGCACAGAGTTAACACAGAACTCTAAATGTGCGGCCCTGAGTCCAAGGACGTGGGGCTTTTTATAATGAGCAAGCAGGCAAGCGGGCAGTACAGAAGCAGAATTGAGCGGTTATTATAAAAAGGCTACAAAGAGAGCAGCCCTTATCCTGCTGTGTAGGAAAACTTTTGTTATTTTAAAGGCACGGCTTAGGGTTTTGGGGAGTTTCAAGGGAATAGCCATTATCTCAAGGACAAGGTACGCAAACTGTGTCATAAATAACCATTAATAGGAAACATTAACCCTTGTCTTCTTATTTGTGTTTTTTCCTTGCACCTGAGGACAGTCATGTAGCCCTCTGAGTGCAGGCCCAGAAGGTAAACTCTGGGTCAAGATGGAAGGACCGAGGCTAAATTCATGTGCAACACCATGTATATACTGTGACCCCTAGAACTAGCCAGAAACCCAACTCGGCTTCCTGCATAATCCAGAAATTTCTTTGTGCTTTCAAAGTTAATTGTTACATTAGTTAACGCCTATATCTGTTTGTTCTTCTGTCCATCAGGTACCCCATTCATCCACAAACATTTTTTGAGTGCCTAACATGTACTTAAACTGTGACTTAGACAAAATGCTGTACCAACACTTTACCCTTGAACTCATGGTAAAGTACTGAGATTTATTAAAAAATTAAACTTCAAAAGTTTATGTCAATCATATATAGATATAGTTTAAAAATTAAAATAGTATAAAAGGGTATAAAATTTAAAGTAGAATTTTCACTCCCTCAAGAGAGAGGACTACTGGTAATAGTTTCTCTGATAAATTGATATATTTATATATGTATATACACTGTATACATTATAAGTTATATTAATCCTTATAGGTTATATTATATAATTGTATTAAATAGTTAGCTAATATATAAAACAATACATATGAAACAAACATACAGTTACATATAGGATAATGTATATTAAAATTTAATAGACATATAAGCAAATGCAGTGTGTATACACAATTGAAATCATACTATGTACATTTTGAGCCCTGCTTGTTTAAACTTAATATATATTGGGGCTCTTTCCAAGCTAATGTATATAGATCTCTTTTTCACGGCTACATGGTATCCAATTAAAAATACTTTCCACAGGGGCGCCTGGGTGGCTTAGTCAGTTGAGTGTCTGACTTTGACTCAGGTCATGATCTCACAGTTTGTGGGTTTGAGCCCCACATCGGGCTCTGTGCGGACACCTAGCTCAGAGCCTGGAGACTGTTTCAGATTCTGTGTCTCCCTCTCTCTCTGACCCTCCCCTGCTCACTCTGTCTCTCTCAGAAATAAACAAAAAACATTAAAAAAAATACTTTCCACAATTTGATTGATTCCTTATTGAGGGACAGGTTGTTATTAGTCTTTTTCAATTTTCAAATAATGCTGTAAGGAACATTAAAAAATGTAGATCTTTACATATTTGGCAAGAATAACTGTAGGATAAATTCCTAGAAGTGGAACCGCAAGGCCAAAGAGTAGATACATTTAAACATTTTGATAGCTGTTGTCCAAGCTGCTCTTAGCTGAAATTGTACCAATTCCTGTCCCCACCAACAGAGTGCCCCATTCTCCAAAACCTTTTAGATACTTGCAAAGATAAAAAATTGTACCTACTTAATTTACTTTTTTTTTTTTAATATTTTTATTTATTTCTAGGAGAGAGAGAGAGACAGCGTGAGCAGCGGAGGGTCAGAGAGAGAGGGAGACACAGACTCTGAAATGGGCTCCAGGCTCTGCGCTGGCAGTCAGCACAGAGCCTGACGCGGGGCATGAACCCACGAACCGCGAGATCATGACCTAAGCGAAAGTCGGACGCTCAACCAACTAAGCCACCCAGGCGCCCCCTACTTAATTTACTTTTAATTAGAAGATTGTTCATTGTATATTTTTATTAATGATTGGTATTTCTTTTAAGGTGCTCTGTCTGTACCTTTCGCCGATTTTGCTGTTGACATTAGTTCTTAAACTTTTTAAAAAGTCTGATAATACAAAGTTTTGTTTGTATCATGCTTTATAATTCACTAAGTCTTTATATATTATCTTAATTTTTTGAACCTCATATTAACCTTATAATTAGGTCTTTTCTTCATAGGTGATTGAATGGGTCACAATAAGTGGCAGAGTTGGGACTTGAACTTGTATAGCATGTCCCTCCCCTTATCCACAATTCTGAAAACCAAGAAAAAAGTCTGAAAACCCACTTAAAAAAATTGACAGCAAAACTCATTTGACAGCAAAACTTGACCTAAAATAAAGTGAAGCTATTTATAGTATTCATTCCATTTAGTGCATTTATTTCTCAGCATAAATAGTAATGCCTTGGATGACATGATGTTGCTCCAGAATTTCAAATGGAACACATGGGGTTCATAAAACATATATACTGTCACATACAAAACACATGGTGGGTACCCTCTGCATTACTGCCTAAAATCTGAAAAAGCCCTAAATTTTGATACTCCTGGAGTCTTCAAGCTTTTTATTAGTTGATTCAAGAAAGCAGGAAGTTAATTTTAACATTTCATTTGTTTGACGTTTTAAGGTGCTGATTATAGTTTGTTAACTTGTTAACTTTCTTTTCTACAGTGTCCAGTTAGGTAACACTAGTTACATGGTTATTGAGTGCATGTGATTATTGAGTACTGAGATGTGGCTAGTGCAAGCTGAGACGTGCTAAGTGTAAAACACGCATCAGCTTTCGAAAATTTTGTGCAGAAAAAAAAAATCTCACTTATTTTTACACTTATTAAATGACGTAATATCTGGATCTGTTGACTTCAATGAAACATTAGCATATGTGGCTTGCACTAATTTCTATTGGGCAGCAATGCCCTGCATCCAAGTCACTACCTCCGTATCCCCAGCCCCCTGCCTCAGCCGAGACCGCGGGAGGCTGAACTAAGTGCCTTGACAAGTTCCGGCCGCGAGCAGTTTTGTTCTATTTTGTCTTCAGGTCCTTTCCAAAGTCTTCAAACAGTTGCTAGGCAGCCGGAACGTCTGCAAATCGCGTTTTCGGTAAATTTGACCAAACCACACCCCGTCCCTTGTTCTCGTGCTTCTGCGCGGAGGCGCGCGCTCAGTGAAGATTGTCCCGCACGGCCCTCCGTCCGCCCGCGGGCGGTCCAGTGTGCAGGGTTCCCGCGTCTCTCCGAGTCCCGGGAGACCTCGGCGATGGCGTTCCGGTGTCAGCGGGACAGCTATGCCCGCGAGGTGCGGCCGGCTGGGCTAGGGACCCGCGGCTGCCGGGCGGACGGGGCGGGGCGGGAAGATGGAGCCGCGTGCAGGGGCTGCCGGGAGAGGCTCCGTCCCCGTGTCCTGAGGGCTGGGCTCCGGCTTATTCTGTGTCCCTCTCTGTGCAGTTCACCACCACCGTGGTCTCCTGCCGTCCCGCCGAGCTGCAGACCGAAGGAAGCACCGGCAAGAAGGAAGTGCTGAGTGGTTTCCATGTGGTGCTGGAAGACACGCTGCTTTTCCCCGAGGGCGGGGGACAGGTACCGGGCCCGCGCCACACCCCGACCCGCTCCCAGGACACCCCTCAGTGCCTTTCTGCTCAGGACGTGCCCTCCTGCCCCTCTGCCCCAGCCGTGACGCATGCAGGTGGAAGTTAGCTCAATTCAGTTCGTTTGTTCATTCAACAAATACTTCTCAGCACGTACTTATCGGGCCGTGACATGTGCTGGGTACTTATTCCAGCTTCTGAGGATAAGGGGTGAACAAGACAGCGTCTCTCCATACAGAGAATATTTATCGGAGAAGACAGACAAAATGGTGAATAGGTAAAATAGAATGCTTGGTATGGGAAGTGCTCTAAAAATTAGGGAAAGACAGTCATGGAATGTTCTAAGTGGGGGGGAGTAAATTTCAGTACAGACCTAAGTGAAGGGAGGGGGTAAGCCATGCAGTTACCTAATGGTGCTGGTGGGAAAGGGGCAAGTATTCCAAGCAGCGAGAAGACAAGTGCAGAAGAATCAAGAATTAGTTTAGGGTGTTTGATAGGGCCTGGGGAAGATTCCCCTGAGGGAGCTCAAGGGAAGACAGACTCATCCATGCTGTGATGGGGTAGGGACAGGGTCCCACGTGAACTGGAGAAGGGAAAATAACAGCAGAAAGGTGGGGATTACGGGAGAGGCTTTTCCAGCAGGGGTCATAGCACAGACGAAGGTAGGGAAGCCCGAAGGAATCTGACGAGGCTAGTTAAAGGCAAATGGTCTACTATAGTTGGAGCCTATGGTGTGTGTTGATGACAGGCTGGAGATGACCTTGGAAAGGTCAGTTGGGGCCACTTCAGAGGAACTTGAAGCATGTGCTAAGGTGCGTGGACTTCATTCAAGAAGCGGTGGCAAACCGTGGAAGTACTTAGGCAAGGAAGTGACACGAGAGATCATGGTCAGTACACTTGAGAGTGAGAAAGTTCAGTTTCATCTCAGCGTCGTTGTTACAGGGATTGTCTGCTGAAAGAACACCTGTACCTCAGGTGACTATAGACAGACTCATCTTGTACATTTTTCCCCTAATTCCTTGAGTCTGGTAGGTCTGTTTCCTGTGAACTCTTCTAGAACAGAGTACTTTTTTACATGACGGCATGTTGTAGATCATACAACAGTGACCTTTGCGTGTGTGTCTGTATTCTTTTCCAGACACTTAAGTTCCATGAGGGGCTTTGTGTTTACGTTGTTTTCTCAGGTCATGGCAAGATCTTGTCAGCAGGTGGCACGAGATATTTTTTCAGTGAATGAATGTTTTTGTTCTTTATTATTTTTTTTAAGTAATCTCTACACCCACCATGGGGCTCAAACTCACGACCTGGAGATCAAGAGTCGCATGCTCCACTGACTGAGCCAGCCAGGTGTTCTTAAAACGAGTAAATATTTTTTGAAGCTAATTCTAGTAATAGCGTGGAGGAAGGAGTGGAGGGCAGGAGGAAAATCAAACCGGTTTAGAAACTGTAGGAAGATAATCTAAATTAAGGCAGTGAGAGCGATGGTTAAGTTTCTTTGGGTTTTACTAAAATCTGTGTGGTTGTAGTTACAACCTCTTTTTCTTTTTTAATTTTTAACTTTTTTATTTATTATTGAGAGACAGAGCATGAGCATGGGAAGGGCAGAGAGGGGGGGAGACATAGAATCTGACAGAGGCTCCATGCTCTGAGCTGTCAACACAGAGCCCGACGCGGGGCTCAGACTTACCTGCAAGATCATGACCTGAGCCGAAGTCGAACGCTTAACCGACTGAGCCACCCAGGCGCCCCTACAACTTGTGTTTTAAGTCTGCTATTCTCTTCTGCAGAACAAAATATATGGGCCTTCAGAGTGAAGAGAACAGAGGCACGGAACAAAGTGGACCCCTCACTTGACAATGCCTCTTGTCCCTTAGGGAATCTCAAATTCTGGATGCATTTCTTACATACTTTCCCTAGAGGGTCTTTGTATCCAGGAGTTTAGGTGAGCTCTGTCTCCCACCCCTGATTAGCTTTACTTCTTTCCCCAGCCCGATGACCACGGTACGATCAATGACATCTCTGTGTTGCGAGTGACCCGCCAGGGGGCCCAGGCTGATCATTTCACCCAGACAGCCCTGGCCCCTGGGACCGAGGTCCAGGTCCGGGTGGACTGGGAGCGAAGGTTTGACCACATGCAGCAGCATTCAGGTGGGTGGGGTGGCCTGGGACACCTGTGGGAGGGGCCATTGCCGTGAAGGGGATGCCGTGATGATTGAGGCATCTTTGGGTTCTCTTGGGGTTAACCTTTTGGAAAGGACAGACATAATCAGAAGCTGCTCCGATTCAGACACTATATGATAAATGTTATAAAAACAACGTGAACAGTTAAAGTATTAGAATAACTGTATTATCGCCCTCCCAGTTTTTATCCTTACCTGGATATCTCCTAGGCTTTTTAAGTTCACCACGTTCCAAACAGACTTAAAAAGACATCTCCTCCCCCTGACCTGGTCTTCTGTGAGCATCTACCTGGTTGCTCAAATCCTCAAAGTCTGGGGCGCCTCGGTGGCTCAGTCGGTTAAGTGTCCGACTTCAGCTCAGGTCATGATCTCACGGTTCGTGGGTTCAAGCCCCGCGTCGGGCTCTGTGCTGACAGCTAGCTCAGAGCCTGGAGCCTGTTTTGGATTCTGTGTCTCCCTTTCTCTCTGACCCTCCCCTGCTCACACCGTCTCTCTCTCTCTCTCTCAGAAATAAATAAAATGTTAAAAAAAAAATTAAAGAAAAATCCTGAAAGTCTGTGCAGACACCTCTTCGGGGAGAGCCAACCACTGAGTCCCATCAGTTGATCCTCTGAACATCACTTCCTTCCATTGTTAATGCAGTCATCCTGGTCCCAGCTCTCATTGTCCTTCCCTCAGACCCCTGATGTAGGTCATGTGTGAAGTGGCATCACAAAACTTTTTGTAGGGTTCTCGTGAGGATTTTCAATAAAATCTGTGACAAGAGTATGAGCCAGTACCCGGCAGGTCCCCCACGGGGAGAACCTCTGTGGTGACCTCAGGGGCATGTGGCAGGCTGTACTTTTCACTCTTCCTGTCTCTTGCTCTCTCCACTCAGGGCAGCATCTCATCACAGCAGTTGCTGACCATCTGTTTAGGTTGAAGACCACATCATGGTGAGCAGAGGACATAAGACTAACCATAGGTCACAGGTCCCCGGCTACCAGCTCCTCTCCCAGTAATGGACCGGGGTAGGAGGCTAAAAGAAAGGATAGGATTCAGAATCTGCTGTGTTCACCTGTTCCCCTTAGCGTGGAGCGGTGGGTGACCTTGTGTGTGTCGGGGAAGCATGAAGATGCAAGAAGGAAGGAACGTGGGGTTGGGAGCCCAGAGACCCAGGGGGTGAATTCTGGCTGCATGATCTTGATCACATTCCTTCCTATCCTTCACCCGTAAAAAGGAAACGACAGTCTACACCTTGGAGGGTTTTTGTGAGGATTACATCAGATCATTTTCGTGAACGCTCTTTGTAGACTTTCTTATCTTCTTACTGTCCTCATCAGCATCCTGTGACTGCCACACTTCCTCTGCAGGGAGCTAGGGCGACTCCGGAGCGTGATTGAGCTGGACAGCCCCTCTGTGACCGCAGAGCAGCTGGCTGCCATTGAGCAGAGCGTCAATGAAAAAATCAGAGGCCGGCTGCCCGTGACTGTGCGAGAGCTGAGCCTGGATGACCCTGAGGTGGAGCAGGTGAGCAAGAGCCAGGGGGGCAGCGTCTGCAGAATGGCCCTCCGAGGGCCCGTCATCAAAATTCAGACAGCCCTTCTCCCTCCGCTGTGTTCCAGGTGAGGGGCCGGGGTTTGCCAGATGACCATGCTGGGCCTGTTCGAGTTGTTACCATCGAGGGCGTTGATTCCAACATGTGCTGTGGGACCCATGTGAGCAACCTCAGTGACCTTCAGGTGGGTAAAGACGGGCTCTTGAGTGGCTGGGAGAGAGGGTGTTCGGGAAGCGGGGATCCTGAGCGGGCTGAGCGGGATCACGGGGGACAGCTGAGGGGGCCCGCCTGGAGTCCCTCCTTCAGTGCCTCCCTGCAGGGGCACCCGTCTAGGGATCTCCCGCTCTCGGGTCTGGCAGCCACTGTGGTTTACACATGGGCTTGTGTTCCTCCATCGCCTCATGTAGGTCATTAAAATTCTGGGCACCGAGAAGGGGAAAAAGAACAAAACCAACCTGGCGTTTCTGGCTGGGAACCGGGTGCTGAAGTGGATGGAGAGAAGCCATGGAACTGAAAAAGCACTGACCACTCTGCTTAAGTATGCCCGCTGCTGCCCCCTGTCTCAGGTCCTGGCCACCCCAAGCTTAGCTCTCCTGCCTGTAGGGTAGACAGTCCTCTCTTTATCCCGGGGCGGGTGGGGGGTAAGATGCACTCATAAGCGATAAAGCACTTTGGACAGTAAGTCCGACCCATGTAAAATGATGTATTCCTTTATGTCTTCTCAGTTGCTCTAGGAGGCCTCCTTGGAATGTCCCCTGGGCCCCAACTGGAGGGCATCATAGGGGACGCCTGGGTGGCTCAGTCGGTTAAGTGTCCGACTACAGCTCAGGTCATGATCTCACGGTTCATGGGTTCGAGCCCCACGTCAGGCTTTGTGCTGACAGCTAGCTCAGAGCCTGGAGCCTATTTTGGATTCTGTGTCTCCCTCTTTCTCTGACCCTCCACTGCTCATGCTGTCTCTCTCTCTCGAAAATAAATAAAACATTAAAAAAAAATTTAAAAAAAAAGGAGGGGGGGCATCATGGGTACACACCCTATCCCAAAAGCAGTTTGGGACGCTGGGCAGGTGACCACGCACCTTTCTCCTGCAGGTGTGGAGCAGAGGATCACGCGGAAGCAGTGAAGAAGCTACAGAACTCGGTCAAGCTCTTGCAGAAGGTGACTTATTCCATAGAGGATGGAGAGGCCTACCCAGATGTGTGGTTCCTCAGAGCGAGGGGTGAGGGGGAGTGAGGTGGGGGGGAGATGGCGAGCTCCCCTGTTACTCCTTCTGCCAGTTGAGTGATGGCATCCATTTTAGAACAACCTGAATCTGCTCAGAGACCTGGCCGTGCATGTTGCCCACAGCCTGCGGAACAGCCCGGATTGGGGAGGTGTGGTCACATTACATAGGTGAGAGACAGGGAGTGGGGGTGCTGGCCTTGGGGCTCAGCCTCTCCCCCTTGTGCAGTGCCTGGTGGGAGGCGGGCCACTCGCTGCTTTCTCAAGGCTGAGCAGACCCTGGGGGATGTGTTACTTGTGTTACTTTCCAGACTTCCTGGGTTCTAGAAGAGTATCTTCGTAGTAGCACTGTAACTTTCATTACCGCCTTTCCTCACCTTCTTCACCATCTAACAGATGTCTCCTTACCTGACTGATCTTATTGAAGGGAGACATAAACATATGCAAAGCATGGTGTAAACTGCCAAGGACTTATTGCTGGCTCTCAGCCAGTACTCTCTGTCTTTGCTGAGAGAATCTGGGACTTCGCACAGACAGCCCGCCGCAAGGCCAGCCTTATGAGGAGGAGGGGGGCTTCCTGCAGATTCTCAGCTCCCTCTCCAAGCTGGATCTCACGCCTTTGTACTTTGTTTTAGGAAGGAGGGGGATTCTGAGTTCATGAATATCATTGCCAATGAGCTTGGGTCGGAGGTAAGAGGAGCGTGAGATTCTCTCTCCCCCCTGGGTAGAGACCTAAGTGAGGGGCATTAGGTTAGTTGAAGTCTCTCCCCAATGAATGTATGAAGAGTAGGGAATTCATTCAGTATTGGGCTTTCATTCAGCACTAGCTGTGAGACCTGTGATAGTGACCTCTCGGGCTGCGACATTTACCAGCTTCTGAGTTCCTTTTATCAGAGCTGGAACTCTTCTAAGCCACCCCCATTTATATGTGCCAGGGGGCTGGTTTTAGAAGCAGTGGGCTGGCTAGACCCTTTGAAGGCCATCCCTTCCATTTTCCTTCGCCTCTGCCTCCAGTGCCCCCGCCCATCCTGGTAGTCTGCAACTTCATGATTTCCAGGTCTCTCTTTTGCATTTATTTCAAAAGACACTTTTTTGGAGTACCTGCCCTGGGCCAAACAGTGTATTTGTCTCTTTATAATCCTGTGCAGAGTGTACTGACTCTGAAGGAGCTCACTTTCTAGTCTGGGAGGCAAATGTGGATGTCAACATTTCTACTTTAGGGTGGTGAATGCTGGAGGCGGAGCAACATGTTGCCTGAAAGAGTGGGGAGATCCCAGGGGAGGGGCCGGGAGGACTGCCTAGTGGTCATCAGACACGGAAGCACAGGCGGCCAGGCAGAGGGGGCTGGGCAGCTTTACGCAGTGGCAGGTGCGGGCTGTGTGAGGGAAAGCGGTGGGCACGCTGCAAAGTTTGATGGGAGTCAGATCACAAAAGGCGTTTAGTGCCTGGCCATGGTCAGCAGCCTGCTGCCTTTTTCTTAATGTTTCACCTAAGCTTCTATAGTCATTCTCAAAACGTTTCTTGGCCCTGGTGGGCCAGAGCATAGGTGCTGCGTCATCACTCACCAGGAACATCACTCATGGTTTAAGGGTAAAAGTGACCTTGAGAGTGAGGAGAGGGCAGCGCTTAGGGGGAGCGACCCTACTTCCTCAGGTGTTAGGACTTCTCTCTTTATCTTACCTTCTAGGAGACCCTCCTGTTCTTAACTGTGGGTGATGAGAAAGGTGCTGGACTCTTCTTACTGGCGGGGCCAGCGGAAGCCGTGGAGACCCTGGGCCCCAGGTAATCTGTGCACTGTCTGCACTAACCTGCTGATCGCACCCTAAACCCACAAAAAGGGCCACCACATCTGTGATTGCATTTTGATGCGCGTCACAGGCATGGGAGGTGGGCCAAGCAGGAATAATTGTCACTGCAGTCATTCCTAATTTTACAGATGAGGGACGACACATTGTGCATCTGGTATCTCACAGTCAGTAGAACTAAGGCTCAGACCTAGGTCTTTTTCGCTCCAAATTTCCTCTGCTTTGTTTTTTTCTTTTAGAACTTGAGATAACAGAAATGACACATGAATTCAGGTGCTGGATTATCACTCAGCCGATAAAGCAGGTGCTTACGTCACCAGCAAAGCAGAGACACAGACCAACTCTTTCAGAGGAAAAAAGGGTTTTAAGATAAAGTAAAAATCAGCATTGATGTAATTGTTATGGGAAAATTAGAACTTTCTTTACCTTCGTTACCTATATATTCATTATTTTTTAATATAAAAAAAGTTTATTTATTTTGAGAGAGAGCATGCATGTGTGTGCCCTTGAGCCAGGGGGAAGCAGAGAGAGATAATCCCAAGCAGGCTCTGTGCAGTTAAGTGCAGAGCTGGACTTGGGGCTTGATCTCACCAACCATGAGATCGTGACCTGAGCCAAAATCAAGAGTCTAGGACACTTAACCAGCTGAGCCACCCAGGTGCCCCTATATTAGATATAGAGTGTCACATATTCTTTCTGGTGTTTAGGGTTTTCAAAGTCCTGATTGGCTCTGATGAAAATGTGTTCAAAGGACAACATAAGAATTTAAGGCAGAGGTTCTGGACAGGCAGCCAGATGTGGGCTGCTGATTGGTTTGGACTGGGTACTGTTTTAAGTTTTTTATTTTATCTTTTTTCTTAAGTAGGCTCCACACCCAGCGTGGAGCCCAGTGCAGGCCATGAACTCACAACCCTGAGGTCAATACTTGAGCTGAGAGCAAGAGTCAGCCGCTTAACTGACTGAGCCACTCAGGCACTCCTATTTTAAAATTTCAGTTAGTAGTTAACATTTTAAAATTAGGAGATAGATGTAGGGGCGCCTGGGTGGCTCAGTCGGTTAGGTTAGTGTTTGACTTCAGCTCAGGTAATGATCTCACGGCTTGTGAGTTCGAGCCCCATGTTGGGCCCTATGCTGACAGCTCAGAGCCTGGATCCTGCTTTGGATTCTGTGTGTGTGTCTCTCTCTTTGCCCCTCCCTTGCTCATACTCTGTCTCTCTCTCTCAAAAATAAATAAACACTAAAAAAATTTTGTTTAAATAAAAAAAAATAAAATTAGGAGATGTATACACAAAAATGTAGAGTTCTAGCTTTTCTCAAAAAAGGAAAATAAAGGCACGCTCTGGCAACAGTGGGCCCACGTGCCCACATGGCAATAGCTGCTAGGAACTGGGTGGTGACTTCCTGCTTCTGATGGGACAGGCTTGTCCCTCTATCCACAGTGCCCCCCCTGCCCCTCCCCCTTTTCGCACTCACCCCCAGTGTGCTTCACTGCTGCCCCCTACAGGCGTTTCTGTCTGCAGCCCCTTACCCCTAGTGGACATTCCTGCTGCTCCCTGGAGGTTGCCATGATTTATCTAGCCTCCCATTTCTAGACTCTTCTGTTGTATCCAGTTATTCACACTTCTTTTTTTTTTTAATATGTAGAACAACAAGTAGTATTTCATTTTTTGTCCCCCAAATTACTCACTCTTAGAATAAACATGGTCCATATATCTGTACATATGTACAGGTAATTTTAAGAAGGTTTTCTAGAAGCCATATACTCTTCCTTACTTCCCACTCTTCCCTGAGTGTGGGGAAGGACTCCGAACTTCCCTTTTTTTTTTTCCCTGTGGCCTTTCCCTTGAAGACTTTCTGCCTGACTGTCTCTCTGCTCCCCAGGGTGGCCGAGGTGCTGGAAGGCAAAGGAGCCGGGAAGAAAGGCCGCTTCCAGGGCAAGGGCACCAAGATGAGCCGGCGGGCAGAGGCACGGGCGCTCCTCCAGGACTACATCAGCACCCAGAGTGCTGAGGAGTGAGGACCCGGCCGCCTCCCTGGGGCTCCTGCTGTTGAGAACTGGCCTTCTGTGACTACAGAGTCTGTTGGACAATAAAATAGCTTGGCTTGACATGGTTGTGGTACCACACGCACATGACTGATTTATACAGTATTCTCTGGTGTGTTCGTGTGATGTGTGTTTGTGAATAAACAGCTTTCTGATGTAGGGGTGCCTGGGTGGCTCAGTCGGCTAAGCATCCGACTTCGACTCAGGTCATGATCTCACGGTTCGTGGGTTTGAGCCCCGCCTTGGGCTCTGTGCTGACAGCTAGCTCAGAGCCTGGAGCCTGCTTTGGATTCTGTATCTCCCTCTCTCTGACTCTCCCCTGCTCACGCTGTCTCTCTCTCTCTCAGAAATTAAAAATAAACAGTAAAAAAAAACACCACAACAAAACAGCTTTCTGATGTCGCCCCCGTCAGGCATCACGTCCACGAGGGGGCATTACGTTGATGCAGTGTCCGCATTTCTCTACACGCACCTGCAACGTTGCTTCCTGTGGAAATGCGGCTGCCTAAGGGGAGGGCGAGCCAGGCATTCAGATCCCGTTTTCTTTTTCCCCTGATTTTCCTAGTCCTGTGTTTTAGAACTAAAAGATATCAGACTTTGCAAATAGGTCAAGTGCCACACAAATATAGTAGAAAGATTCTCTAAGTGTGTTACTCAGACAGAAAAGGGATGGAAAAAAGTATCCCAGAAGACTAACCCAAAGAGAGCTTGTGCCCCATTATTGTTAGTTAATGTTTATTGATTTTGAGAGAATCCCAAGCAGGTTCCTCACTGGTCAGCACAAAGCCCATCGTGGGACTCGATCCCACGAACATCGAGATCATGACCTGAGTTGAAATCAAGAGTGCCCCTGGGGTCATGTTATTGAGACTTTCAGAATCACTGTTAGAGATCAAGAGGGATATGTAAAAGACAAAATAGTTCTCAATTTGCATCTAATAACAACCTCACAATACGTAAAGTGGAAATTGACAGCTAAAAGAAGAAACAGACAAATCCATATTTGGTGGAGGATTTAAACCAATCTTTCAGCAACTGATAGGACAAGAGGAAGTATCTCGAGGTTAAGAACAAAGACACTGGACTTTCATAGATCCGAGCCAGGCATCCTGGCTTTGGGCACCCATGGGTGGTAAAACTAGAAAAAAAAGCAAGGAGGTGATTCATTCATTTTTTAATTTAATGTTTTATTTATTTTTGAGGGAGAGAGAGTGTGAGCAGGGGAGGGGCAGAGAGAGAGAGGGAGACACAGAATCTGAAGCAGGCGCCAGGCTCGGAGCTATCAGCACAGAGCCTGATGTGTGACTTGAACCCACGAGCTATGAGATCATAACCTGAGCCCAAGTTGTACACTTAGCTGACTGAGCCACCCAGGTACCCTAGGGAAGTGGCTAATTTTAAAAGGACAGCATTTACCTCTGGGGGAAGGGAGTGGAGCAGGATGGAGAAGGGACCCCAGATGTGGGCGGGAGGGGGATTCCTGGGATGCCCGCAGTGTGGTGTTTTCCTGATTTGGGTGGAAGGTAAATAGTTGTTGGCTTTACAGTTATTCATTATAGCCTACATTTATGTTTTATTCCATGACGTTTTATTTCACCGTTTAAGAATACAACTGATGGCACCTGGGTGGCTCAGTCAGTTGAACATCTGACTTCAGCTCAGGTCATGATCTCACAGTTTGTGAGCTCCCACACTGGGCTTGCTGCTGTCAGCCTGTCAGTGCAGAACCTGCTTCAGATCCTCTGTCACCTTTCTCTGCCTCTTCCTCACTTGCTCTCTCCCCCAAATAAATAAATATTTAAAAAAATACAACTGGAAAAAAATTCTGGGTTCTGTCACTTATTTGCCTTGGGAAAGTGTTTTTGCTTTTTCAACCTTCAGTTTGGTCAGCTGGGAAGTTGCGGTGATGGCAGTACTTAATTCTCTGGGGTGTTGTGAAAGTAGCATATTTAATGGTAAGTGGGTGAACAATTTTGTGTGTTCCCCGAGATGACCTAAGAACACGTACTTTTTGATTGCCGAAACATCCTGTTCCTCTTTACCTGCAAATTGAGAATTGACTGTTAGTCAACGGGCTCCTAGGTCGATACAGTTCTGGTGGGGAATCGTTTTCCCCTCATGTCAAGACGCCATAAGGAGAGAATGACAGGATCCATTTGGTCTTCTCCCAAAGAGAATGAAGCTGAAATGGCTTTTCTGGTAAGATTGGAAGTTACAAGGCAGCCTACTCGTTAAGGACAGGAGTTGAGTCCGAGGACTTGAGCCAGAGTCAGGCGGTGGGTTAGAGCTGGGCTGCAGGGGGGTGGCCAGAAGGAAGGGGAGTTTGAATTTCCAAGGGAAAGTTAGGCATTGATTCTGCATCAGTAGGCTGCCTTGGGGTATGGAAGGCATCATCGAGAATTTTTCAATATATTTTTAAAATCTTCCTCCAACCCTTCCCGACTCACCCAATTTCTCTCACCAGAGACAACCACCAATTTCTTACGTACCCTCTTGTGCATCTACAGAGGGTGGATTTTATTTGTTTGTTTGTTCGTTTGCTTATTTCTGAGAGAGATAGAGACAGCGTGAGCAGGGGAGGGTCAGAGAGAGAGGGAGACACAAAATCTGAAGCAGGCTCCAGGCTCTGAGCTAGCTGTCAGCACAGAGCCCGACGTGGGGCTCGAACCCACGAACTGCAAGATCATGACCTGAGCCGAAGTCGGACGCTTAACCGACTGAGCCCCCCAGGTGCCCCTGAATTCATTTTCGTGTGTGTGTGTGTGTGTGTGTGTGTGTGTGTGTGTGTGTATCTGTGTGTCTGTGGGTGTGTGTGATCTCCCTTCGTCCTCTGCTTCTGCTTCATCAGGGTGTGAGACAGTGCAGGGGACTGGAGGCCAGCCTTGCCTGCTGTCTCTTATGTGCGTTCTGCTCACAAAGACCTAGAGTAACCATATCATTTATTACCGAAACTCAGACACCCGTGAGGGTGAAGGAGGAGCTCCACACATCACACCAGAACCACAGTCACAACCCAGGACAGTTTCCCTGCTGAGTCTCTCCCTGAGCTTCAGTTTCTTGACTTGAAAATAGGGATGTGAACACAGCGTCCTAAGAAACAAGGAACTTCCTGAAATAATTAGGAAAATACAGGGCCGATTGTCTTTTGTGAGGTTCACCCCAAAACAAAGCAGAATGAATTAAATCATTTATTCATTAAAATTCATTAAAAATGAATTTAATAATTTATTAGAGTAACATTAAATGAGCACAAGCAAAACAATAGGTATTTTATGAATCAGCACAAAATGTGATAGAGTTTTATGTATACATACACACACATATATATAGTCAGGAACATTGCAGTAACCCACTTTTACAGCATAGCAATCGTGTGAAGGGGCTCCTTGCTCTTCAGTTTTATGATTCAAGTCCCCATGAATTGCTGAAGGCATAGATCCCATGGCTCACACCAAGCCCAGGGTCTCCCATGTGCCTGCAGGTGCTCGTATAGGTACTGGGGTCAGATGTTAGTCCAGGAAATAAAAGATGTCAGATAAGAGATGGACGCAGAGCAAGAGACCGACTGAATTCAGGAAGACATCATGCCTAAATGTCCTGAGTGGAAACCAGTGAGTCAACCGAGCTGTGCCAGAATGCCAGGTCTTTTCCTGAATAAGAACTTAAAGTCCTGGGCCTCCCAGGGAAAACAGACAGCTTAACATGCCCTAATGAAAAACTCTCTTGCAGAAAGCTTGTGTCTCCCGTTCTTTTCCTGAATTAGATCCAAACTGTGACTAAAGCACCTTCGATGGAGGGCAACCAAGGCTATTCGGGAAAGAGTGATGGAGAAATTTCCTCCTTTTTCCAGAAAGGTCTGCACCTTCTGTGCAGACTACAGTCGGCAGAGAGCCAGACTCTCAACTTTAAGGAACAAGAACGGGGCCCATGTCCAGAGCAAAGAGGCTCTCGTAGGGACAGACTTGTCTCTCTTTTGCCCTTTTATAAACTCCCTGCAGAAGCAACCTGCAGTCAAGGCTTGCTGGTCAATATCCCCGTTAGCCCTCAGATACCAACCTCAAAGCCACGTTTTTCAGAAACGAGGGAGGAATCAACATTTTTTTCTGTGAGAAGTCCCTCCCTTTTCCTTTCATAGCATCTAACTTGCTTTTGTTGTTGGTAACTTGTGCGTATAATAAACAACCACAGAATTTGTTTGTCCATTTATTCCACAGATACTTACTGAGAAGGCAATGTGTGTGCTGGACACTGATGTAAGAACTGGGCCGTACTGGTAAATAACAGATGTGGTCACTGTGCTTACGGCATTTACAGCCATGGAGGAGACAGACAGGAAAGAGACAAGCAAATACATGTAAAATTATACACTCTGTTAAGTCACAGAGGAAAAGAACAGGGCAGAGTAAAAGAATAATGCGGGAGAGGGGAGCAGGGGAGGGTCAGGGCAGTGACTAGGGAGGCCCGGGGAGAAGGTAGGCCCCTCATGATCTCCAGGATCCATGCGTCATGTCTCAGACAAAGCAGGGTGCTGAACACGCAAACAAAACCAGTTTGTTTTGACAACTCTCCTTGTTTCCCTTCCAACCAGATAGCCATCTTTGGGCCCTTTATAGAAATTCTGGAGCTGTGGGGCTCCTGGGTGGCTCAGTCAGTTGAGCATCAGATTCCTGGTTTCGGCTCAGGTCATGATCCCAGGGTCGTGGGATCGAGCCCCATGTCTGGCTGCACATTGAACATGGAGCCTGCTTAAGATTCTCTCTCCCTTTCCCTCTGTCCCTCTCCCCTGCTCATGTATGCATTCACACTCTCCCCCCTCCTCTGACTAAAATAATAATAATAATAATAATAATAAACTTTAACAAATAAAAATAAGTTGAAAAGAAATTCTAGAGCTGCAAATTGTCCCTTAGCCCCAGAAGATAAACCAAGGTTTTGAAGAGGCTGCTAGATTCATTGCTGAGCCCTGTGTATTTTGGATGCCTTTCACCTGACCGTTACAAGGAGGCAAAAAATTAGACAGACATGAAGCTCGTTTTGCTCTTCACCCGCATGGGCCTCTCCCCATCACTGCTGGGCCATTT